AAGGAGTTCGAAAGATTTCTTTTCATTTTATTCATGATTTTTTGCTTCCCCAGATTCGTTCGAATTTAGTACTGGTACTTGAAATTCGCCGACGGGCATGGCGCAGTTGGGCTAGCGCTGCTGTCGTACATTAGGTCGAAGGGTCAGCCGTTGGGCAACCAATCCTCTACGACTCGTTTCAATGACAAATTGGTACTGGCATATGCCAGGGATTCAGATCCGTCATCAGCCTGTTTGTAAGCGACCTAGAAAAGAAGGAGCCATCGACAGCTTTGACAGAGGATGGCTGTTATTGGCATTTGCTACCACTCAGTCTACTTCCCGAATGCCTCCGCTTCTCGTTGAGAGTGAAATACCGAAAGGGTCTTGACTTGAAATTCAGCCATGCCCAAGAGATCTTGCACGCAGTCTACGACTCTCGCTATAATAGGCATTTATGCACACCGAAATATACGTAACTGCCGTATCTGTTGCTCATTTCGTCTGTTCCGACAATTTCTTTTGCTAACCAGCCTTGGCAAACTGATAAAAATGAAGCGCAGAGGTCAATTCAAGAAACTTAAAGAGACTTCCTGCGAACTGCATAAGTAGGCTTTCTTCATAGCAATCTTACGTGTATTTTTTCAATTGTATCAAAAATCGCTAGACAAGATGAGGTCTGCGTAAGTGATCACTAGCCGAAATAAATGAGCTAGAAAGCTAAATTTTAAAAAAATTAAGCTTGTATTAACTCCCACACTTCCCATGTTTCCAGTTCTTGAATTTAAATGTGAAATCAACCTAAATAATGCGGAACAAACGAAACAGCATAGTGCATTATAAACAACCTGAAATTAGCTCTGAATTTTGCCGATTCTTGATCGACAACAAACATTAAATCCTAGCATGAGCCGACGGTATGACAGCAGAAAGTACGACGGAAATTGTGCAGTTTTAATTCATCAAATTGTTCGAAACGACTGATCTGCAGATAGCTTCAGATCTTAGTTCGTTCTGACCTATAACTCTATTCCAGGTCCACATTGATATTATAACCCTAAAATCCAGATAGCAATGCGCAGCAAGGGTTTTCGATGTGATCAAGCATTTTTGTAGCCTGAATTTTGTCGTAATAGGACAGCACTCGTGAAGGTCGTTATTGGGTTTTCCGCACTCCCCAGAATCAGTCAGCAATCTCATAAATATTTAGCTTCTTGCCTGCCGGAATACTTAGGGGACAAGAAAACAGCAGCTTTACAACTTAAACGCTCGATATGTTTGTGCGCAGGACAGATTCATAGACAAAAGCCCAATTTGATGCTAGCCGGCCTTCACATGAACAACAAACAAGTGCCAACATTAACCGGAACTGAAAATTTACCTGTACGTACATGAAACTTATGCGTGCTTTAAAGCGGATTTCCAAATATTTAAGTCATACATGGGCAAAGAATATCCTCTTAGAATTTCAGCTTCCTAGCTTGACAAATTGGCGAAGTCGCTCTTCGTTACAAATATTTTTGGTGTCCGAATGGGTGACACAGGTATGCACCGAGGATCATTTTTATGCTAAGTGCCTTGTGAAATTGTGGTGCTCTAAATAACTGAGCTCCCAAGTCTACACTTCGCAGCGATTCCGCAATTACAAATTTATATGTCCGTACACGTAGCGTGCGCGTGTATTAAAACTGGATTTGAAATCTTTGGCTCATACAAGGACATAGGATATTTCCATGAAATTAAGCTTCCTACTTCATCTAGTTCTCAAAACATTTACCCGTAAAAATTCACATGTTTTCTTTTAGAGCCCGTAATGTGGGACATAAGCGTATGTAAATGACTGTATTAAAACGTGAAGGTTTTGGGTGGGAACTTGCTTTACCTCCTAGCTTCTCTGATTGCTGAGCTGAAAGTTGGTAAAACGCGGACACATCAGACAGACAATCCTTTTGCCAATAAGCGCTTTACATTTTCATAAGTATGTAAAAATACATAATGAAGTAGATTTTCCACTGAAAATTATGACACTTTGTAAATGAGCAGTTACTTCATCGTTGTTTAGTATTCTAGACTTGTACAGATAGTGGCGCATCTGTACAAGCAGATGTACTATGTTTAGAGCTAATCGCAATGCATGGTCGCGGCAGCTTTCTCATACGCACTGGAAAATCCTTCGAAAATCCTTGGAAAATCCTTCGAAGTCGTTACTTTTCACCACGCTATCAGCATACTTGAAGCTTATGAGTTTTATTGCTGACTGTAACACCAAAGAAAGATACCATGACTGCCCGGACAATCAGTGCAAATGTCACATGATAGTGATGTTACTAGGATGTTCCCAAAGCTATGCACGCATCTCCTAGATTTTTAATCCTGGGCTGCATGTCTCCGGTTGGCACCCATCGTCTGCGCGATGTATGGGCGCATCGTTTTACGAAACTGCCCAAGTAGTTTAATTTTTTGCAAGTACTATTCACTACTACACGACTTTCATCATTTGTCAGCACAAGTGAGATATGCAGCTCAACGAAGGATCGCAGTGATATCTTGTACGCTACTCATCTGGCGCAGATTCTGATTGCTTATTTGGACATGAAGGAACACTTCAAGCACCCTTCGCTCTACTGCTTTCTCCGCCAAAAAAATTAGTCGTTCTTCAGCTGTCACCAGTAACCGCAACTGCATCTGTATATCACTATCTTCAGCACAATGATGCTGAAGAGAGAAAAGCGTTTCTTCCAACTTTGAGGGCATTGGCGGTGCTATGAAATTTGCTCTAACAGCAGCTACTCTAGGTGCAACTACCAGCTGGAGACTCATTGAATTTTTGAAAGAGATACGCGTAGCTATCGAACTCTTGCAAGTCAACACCGTTTATCTACAAATTGGCCACGAGCATGCTGGTACTTTTGCATCACCTTCGTTTTTAGAGCGCCAATTTCCAAGTCCACTTTTTAACTTTGGATGTATTAGGCCCCTGCAGCACTTGGTACACCTCGCTACAAAGGTGAAATAATGTGTGTCATCCAAGAAGCGGAGGTAAATTACCTCTTCCCTACTTCTTTTTTTGACGACTTTGTTATTTCACCTTCCGAAAATTTATCTTAATGCAAATCGCGATGAGCTTCAACGATTTGGAATCTTCTTGCTTTACGCCGCTCTCAATCGGTATACAAACTGGATTGAAGGAAGTTTAGAGTCTGTGAACATCTTACATTCGCTGTCCTAACATTTTTACATATTCCCACATCGGTTCCTTCATCCACAACAGTTCATAGCACAGTATTCAGCTCTATCCTTTGAGTAATTTATAGTACTTCAATGCACATCCCAGTAGCGAGGGAAAGACAACCTACTTTTTATGCGTTTTTGAATTTATGTAAATTGCAAAAACGCATATTGGGAAGAGGCTGTCTGTGTGTGTGTGTGTGTGTGTGTG